GCAGGAGCCGGCGGACGGGGCTGCCCGCCTGCGAGCCCCCGGAGAGCCAGGCGCCCCCCGAGGGCTTTGTGAACGCCGTCTTCCTTTTCTCCCCTTGCCCCCACTCGCGGAGGGAGCTGCGGCAATTCCTCTCGGGGAGCGACGAGCCTTCCTCCTCTCGTCAGCTGCCCACGGTTCAGGAGCTGGCCGAGAAACTCTTGCCCAAGAGTGTGCAGGAATTGATTGTGGGCCAGAAAATCACGCTGTTCTGGGTGGACACTGCGGAGTGTTCTCAGGTAATGAGATTATATGTACCGCACAGCTTCTAGCTGTGAGTACTAGTGGGTCGTATTCTATGCTACTCTCCCTTATAAGTAGGGAGAGCAGTTTTATGCTGTAGTCTTTGAGTGGGAGCGGAAGCTGTTCAGTTACTGCCATTTTAGGAGACTGAAAACTGGAATGGTAGTTCTCCCCATGGATCTATTTTAGCAATTGAGTAACTGTACAGTGTTTATTGATGGGTTGTCTTGTGCTTTGAGTTAAGTAGGAGTTACAGTTACTCAGAATTGTAAATAAGCAGTCTGACAATTCAGGTGTCTAGGTACATGCTTGGAAATATTGGCTCCCTCTTTCAGTGGGAATAGTGCTTTCTTTATTGGGCTCCTGATAATGAACTTCATAAACACTTGGAAAGCACTGTGTTAAGATGCTCTGTACGCATTTCTTATGCCAGTTCTTCTAGAAGCATGCGATCTTGGTTTCTTTGGTTGGAAGTTATCTCACTGCCAACATTAACTTCTCTCTGTTTCTTTGTTTCAGGTGACTGAATCCCCAGATCATGTTGGATACTGGACAATGTTTGAACTGATCCGTCAGATGGGAGGCACCATTTTGCCATCTGAAACCTTAGTGCAGTGTTTGAGTCACCAAAGGGCAGATCTTGCTTGTGGCTTTCTTGGAGGTTCGAGTTCCCCAATTCCACAGACTGTGCCTTGGACCATGCTTCTGCCGTTGGACGCGACTTTGAACTGCTTGTTCTCGAAGCCCTCTGTATTTCAAGCAGTATTCCCCCGGCAAGAAGGAACGTTGTTTCTCAGCATGCCTGGTAATGAAAAAGAAATAGGTGTACATAGTAATAGCTGTGATCTCTCATGCAGGGTCCTCAATGAGTTTCCCTTGTGCACAGCATGTGGTAGAAGTAACTTCGGATATTTAAGAGCCTAAGTTTTAAAAATACTCAAGTCCTGCATGTGCTTTAGTTCTCTGATATGAGAGCTATTAGCTTGTATTTCTGACATAATCTCTTCAGTTTTCCGTGCTTCCAGAAGTTTGGATGTGCGAAGAGCTCTTTAGTGGTTGCACCTTACGTAGGTGTACACCCTTTTCAAAAGAAAACGGATTAGCTTTAAAGCAACATGCGGTGTCCCTTGGCTCTTTATTTAGCAGTCCCTTTGTGCAATCGGCTCCTTGAGGGCTTGGGGAGGAGGTCAGTTCTGCAGTACACTGACTGTAGAGCTATTCCCAATTTAATTGCAGAACTTTTTTTTTTTTTTTTACGTTGAAGTTGTCTCTTCATCTAGATGTAAAACCCATTTCACTTGCCTCAGGACTTTTGCTTTATCTTATCCTCACACAGGAGGAAAGAAGCAGGAAAGCTGTGCTGTGACGCTGGAACCCCTAGCCATGAGCCAAAGACAACTGCATTGTCCAGTCAGCATCTTCCTGAAAGGTAGCTTGACGGGTTGGAGCATGATGCAGGCTGGCCACTTTCTCACAGAGAGCTGGATATTGCGGAGCTCACAGGCTGAGCAGGCAGAACATAACAGGTCACTGTTTCATCAGCTGTTAGGGAGTCTAGTGACTGAAGAACTGCACATGGTAAATCTTTCTCTTTGTCTTAAACTGTCTATTCTGAAACAAGCTGTGAGAAAAGATGTGATAGTGTGTCATGTTGTGGAGACAATCGTAGCGGCATTAGTTGTACTGCACGTTGTTCTGAATGTAGCTCCAAATGAGCATTCTTTAGGAAAGCGTGCAAGTCTGTAACCTGTTTGTCAAGTACATGTACTCCTGAGGTCTCTATTTCTAGGTAACGTAAACAATTTTTTTTTTTAATGTAGGTTGCTGAGGTGTCTCTGTCTAAATCTTGGTGCCTCTGCACTGCTGTTTTATCACCACTTTCTGAGAGCACTGCGGTTCTGACTATCCTCGGTACTGAGGAGACTGCTGAAGTTCAGCAATGCCACCTTGAAGGAGCTGTAGTGGACAACTCGTCCCAAGACCAGGCTCTTTTCCGAGATGTTGTGAATGGTGTGTTGAGTAAAATGAACACATCAGCGGAAGATTCTCTGGCTAGTATGGGTAGGTGTTGGGAAATGTAAAACTTACCCATCTTTTGATCATCTCCTAGATCTGATTTGGAGTGGAAAAATCTAAAGCTAATCATTTCCTCAGTAAGGAGTCTCTCATTTTTGTGACTTGTTAACTTTGTCTTAATCTCCGTGGCTCAGGCCTCATGATGCAGAAATCTGCACTGCATGCCTTTCTATTTTATTGACAGACCCTTAGTTTCCATTAGCATGTAGATAAAGCACAGCTACTTGTGCCTGGGGACAAAGTTTTAGAATGAGAGCCATCCCTGGCCAGTAAAGCCTTCAGGTGTGGCTGCAAGGAGGCTGCTTTGAGCTCAACTGTCTTGTATTATAGTTAATCTTATGAGTCTCCTTGCCTTATATATTGGCTATTAAATTGCTCCTTCAGGAGCAGAGGTTAGGGACCCTTTGCTTTAGAGCTTCTGTGAAGGCTGGGATCTTCTGCCACTTCATTTAGCTTTTTTCTAACTATTTTTTTGTGTGTGTCTGCTCACAGGAGAAGAAACTCCTATACCGGAGTGGGTCCATCAGGAACTGTCCCATACAGGGGCCTGGCATCCTTCAGTGCTTGAAGCATGGTATCCTTCATCGAACATGTGTGGAGCAAGCTCAGATCTGATGGAGTCATTCAGGTATCTTTCTGAATAATAATCATCCAGGATTTCTGCTTCCTGGTAAGGGCATGTGGCTGTAGTGTTGCTCAGAGTTCTAGCATTAGAACTCAGTCCTCAGTTTACTGTGTGCTTTTGCTTTGATATGTATTGGTGTATGAACAAAAGAAACTGGGAACAGGATGTTTGGGTAGCAGTTAGCGTGGATTAAGATCTTGACATTTTCAGGAGTGACATAAAATGACTTAAGCTTGTTGGGGAAATATCAGGCTTCATCTCTTCTTACCATCATATCTTAGGGTATGATAAGATCCACTGCAAGATACTGTAATAGTGCTTGTGTTACCACAGTTGGTATTTAGCAAAAGTGAATAAGCCTGCTTTTTTCAAAGATCTTGCTGAGTGAAACACAAAAAACCGCAGGATAGCTTAGCACAAAGCTGCTCATGTGGTTTTGGCATGGGTCGGTGGCGTAGCCATTGTACGTCACGTAACTCCTTATGCTTGTTTCCAACTTGATGTGACCCTTTTAAGAGGCTGGCTTGGGTTTTTTATATCTTAAGTAAGATTTTGGGGAGCAGGCTTTGGAGGAGTACTTGCACTATACTGCTGTGGACTGGCACCTAGGAAAAACCTGGTTCCTGTCCACTGGGAACAAAGGATATGCTTCTTAATTCCATCTCTTTTGCTAACTGTATTGAATGGTGCTCTTATATAGGCTGCTGCAGGTTCCTTGTGCTAATGGGAAGGGTGATGCAGACCAAGCTGAAGGGGAACTCTCAGAAAGTCTATCTGAGCTGTACCAGAGAAAATGCAGTGAAATGTCTGCTGCAGCTGGACCAGGAAATAAAAAAAGACGTATGTATACCATGGGATTATATGTGCATGTTGCCAAGTAAAGATGATAGACTTCTCAGCTGGCCTTTTTAATGCATGAACCCTAGAGATCTCCACTCTCCTGAATAGTGGCACCCTTCAGGTTTTTTTTTTTTTCACTTAGAGGTGGCATCATTTGCATACTAATACTGCGATGTTCCTTTAGTACAACTCAAGTGACTCAAGGCTTTGCAGTGACTGACAGAAGTGTTAAAAAGCAGCATGTAGAGCTCTGCAGTTTCACCAGTTGTTGAAATAGGACCACTGCAGCTACTAGTAAATACCTCTCAACTTTGTTCTAACTTGGAGAAATCAAATGCTCTCTTAGAGTTTCGTCATTGTGTTTCCATACACCAGACACAGTTGTGTATACCCTGACCTGATGTATCCCTAAGTTTTTTGCTCTGTCAGCTATTTCTATGACATAAGATTACTTCCTATATATGTAACTTCTGGTTATGCAGACAGTAGTTCTTACGGAGAGCAACATTTTGCGCCTGCTTTTTGCTTAGAGAAGCAGCCTCCTGCTATGCTGTCTGTACATGTACTTCATGGAGAAATACAGACACTTTTGGCCATGTTTTCCACTAGAAGGTTACTAATCTTGCTCAGCAGTAACACAGAATTTAGTATTACGTGCTGCCTTGGGTGGAGCTCCTGCTCAATGTGTCTGACGGCTGAACTCCCTTCTTGTGGTCTTGCAGGTGGGGTTCCCCGAACTCCAGTCAGGCAGAAGATGAAGACCATGTCCAGATCCCTGCAGATGCTCAACGTAGCAAGACTGAATGTAAAAGCTCAGAAGTTTCAACCTGATGCTGCGCCACCAACTGTGAACGAGAAGGTTCCACAGAAGCTTTCGGCAAAAAGATTGGATGAAAAGGTGGAAGAAAAGGAAAAGGCACTTAAAATATCAATAGGTGTGTGTTGTCAGTCCTGATATTTGTTGGAGGTCACATGTGATTTCTGTGGAAGGGAGAGGGAAGGATAATAAGGGAGTGTTGGGTGCTAGGGTCAATGCTTGGATTTCTGTGTGTTCAGCTTGGCACAGAGCAGCTGGTATCTTTTTTTCCACCCTTCTTCCAGTTAGTTTTTGTAAATGTTTACAACGTAGTGTTACAACGACTCCTGGGGTTAGTTTCCTGCCTTGTCTCCATTGGAACTATGGTTTTTCCTTAACTGAAAGAAGTAGTGGGAAGCACCTCATTTACTAATTATGCAGAATTAAAGAGAATTTCTTGACTGCTGCAGTACCCTGAAAGCTTGGTGATCTACGGAACTAAGCTTATCATTTGTCATGGGTCTGGACCTGGGACTGCTTCTGTTAGTGTTCTGTGGCCTGGATACGTCTTTGCTGGAGAAAATATCTTCTGATAAGCTCCTCTGTTCCCCTCTTCAGCTGGAAGGAGTGTTTTATCAGTAAGGTGTGGTGAACAGGCATTTATTTATTTCCTGTGCAGACTTCAAAAACGAGGAGGAACTCCAGTCCCATTTAATTGCAAGCTACCAGAAGGCGGTTGCTGAGGGTGTTCTTTCATCCGTGTGTGCCCAGAATATGGTCACAGCCATTAAAAGGTTCTTGAAGCTACAAGATGCCAAAGAGGAAGAGGTAGGTAAGAGCATGTGGACAGGGTTGTTATTGTTACTGATCTGGAAATTGAAGTTTTTACTGTTTCAGGCTACCTTTCCTTCGTCTTGCATGAAGGTTTTGTGCACGTAGTCAAAACCACAACCGCAAACCACTACGATCTGTGCCAACTCAGTAGTGAAAAACTGTAGGTAGTTGTAAAGAATGCAGGAAAATCCAGTTATCAGTTTACACCTTTGCTAAAGCTTGTAATAGATGTCTTCATCTGACCTCACACTGACCTCGTTCTGAACTCTAATGTCACTTACTCAAAGACAGTATTTTAAAAAATACATTCCAGCAAACCATATTTTAAAAAGGTGCATCTTCTGGTTTTGCTTTATATGGCAAACCTAGGCCTACTACCTCTCCAGGGAAGAGAAATAGTTCATGCCATTTCTTAAAGTCTTTAACGCTATTTATAGACTTCAAGTAACTCACTGAAACCAGAATTGGTAAACTTGAAAAAATCAAAAAAAAGTACTGTGAAAGACAAATCCATAGTTAATGAAGAAGGCCTGAAGCTGCAAGCAAGTGACCTTCTCAGGTTTCAGGCTGTAAGTTTGTCTTGTGTCATCATGACTTTGCTACTGAAACAAAGAATTATTTTTCCTTCAAGGAGAAGAAAAATGTTGAGCTATTCCCAAAAGAATGGGTCAAGAGAGGAGAGGTGGAAGAAATCTGTCCTGCAGGCAGGGAACAGACTTGCAAGTTTTTGCTGTAATTGTGTCTCTGCAGGTGGCCTGTGTGGAGAGAGTCCGAAACCATCTCCTGAAGAACAGCAAAATGCTCCGACAACAGCATGGCTTACAGAAGGAGACCAAAGTCAGAGAGTATGAGGCACTGTTTACTGTCACTTCTGTGATACTGTGGAGTGGGTTAACCTTTTTGAATGGTGGCTCTTCTGTACATGGGGGAAAAGTGTTCATGTTGGGTAAATATTGCAAGGAGAATCTCTGGTCACAGTAAAAATATTTCATTAAATGCAAATACACGTTGCTGTGTGATAAGCATTGCAGCCTATATCTAAAATAAGGCATCTCCACTGCCACCAAAATGCAATGCTGACCAAATGACGCTGTCTAAAGAAGCCACTTCCCTTCCCGTTGCTTTTTTTGAACATATCTTTTGCAGTAAATATACTGTTTCCATCAGAAAAAAGGCAGTGAACAATTGCTTGTTTTCTTAGGTGCCGACTCCAGGTATTTTTGCGCCTGGAGTTATGCCTTCAGTGCCCTTTGCTGCAAAGCAATGCTGATGAAATGGAGCAGCTGTTAGAAGAGGCAAGTAAACTTATAGACCAGATTGTGTTTCTGGCTGGCACTAGAAATGCAGACCTGGAATCTGTAGTTTTCCCCTTGATTTTACTGTAACACTATATTCCTTGCTTTAAAAAAAAAAAAAAATCAAAAAACCACAAACAAAACACTACCCAAAAAAACCCCTCCAAACCCCACAAAACTGGTGTTGCAACTGTCTCAGTCTGTTTTCCCACCTGACTCTGTCTTCCAGATGACAGATATGCTGCGCGTTTTATGCCTGACTGAAGACCCAGGGTATCTTACAAAGTTTCTAGAGGAAATACTAGAATTGTAAGTTTTTTAGGATGACGTAAGCGTTACTGGCGACTGGTTCTGGTTTGGATATCTTCTCTGAGTAAACAGCAATCTACAGCTTTGATTTACTGAATTTTGTAACTTTCAGAATTTAAGATGCATTGTTTGTTATGCATATATCTCAGTTAAAGAAAAAGTAGGTGGTAAGCAAGTAAACTAATGATAAAGAGTTGATTTTTCTGTTGTTCTTTAATTGACACATAAGAACAAAGATTTAGGTCAAACCTTGGGATTGAAACAGTGACAGTTCTGTGGGGGATTGTAGTTGATACGTGTTCTTTCTGATCTAGGTATATGAATTCTATACCGAAGACCCTTGGAGATATTTACTACGGTCTCGGTACACAGATACCCCCGAAGCTGGCATCTGTTCTGCCTTCTGATTTCTTTAGTGATGACTCTGTGACTCTGGATAGCAAGTCTCCAGGCCTTCCATCCTCTTTATCATCTGCCTTAACTCCCAGCACTCTTTGCCCACGCACAGAGAGCGATCAGCTGGAGGAGCTGCGCACCAGATCTGCCAAAAAGAGAAGGTAATAATTCCAAATTATTGGATAAGAGGCAACTTGTTGCGGCCTGAGCTGTGGCTGAGGAGTTTTCTAAACTACAGCTCAGTCATCTTTGGTTTTGTTGCTGGATACCTAGCTGGGGTGAGCTGACACATGCAAAGAGCTCTGCAGCCAGAGAGAAATACTAAGGGCTCCCATTTTTAATTTTAACTTGCCATTGTTGCCTATATGAAAGTGTGATCTTGATTCTGTATGTGTATCTTATGCACAAGTGGTGTTCATGAGCATCTTCCATGAGAGGAGGAGAATGTTCTGTCCATAGGTGACCTCTTGTTGTGAAAACTGATTTACTGCAGACCTTTGTGTTGAGGATCCTGTGTACGCTTTCGTAAACTGCAAAATGACGTTTAACCTTAAAGTGAAGTGTAACTATTTACATTGCAGATCATCTTTAAGTGTTGTAATGTTAGTAAGGTACCAACACAATTTTCAGTCTGAGTTTAGGTTAAATCCTTCTAGAGTTAAACCTAAGTTTGATTGTCATTAGGTTGGTAACTATGCTTCTGACCTTATTTTAACCTAATCTTTGTGTACTTTCTAAAGGAATAATGTATTGGCCAGGCACAGGAGCATGACAGAAGCACCACAGAACTTGCGTCAAATTGAGATTCCCAAGATAGCCAAGAATCCCATCAGAAAGGTAAAACCCTTCCAAAAGGATGGTGTGGGTGGCTTCTGAAGGGGTGCGGCAACGTTGTGAAGGGACACTCGAGTGCAAGAAGTCTTGCTCTGTATTCCCTAGGGAACTGTGCCCTGTATTGGCTGTACAGGCTTTGAAGGAGAAACTGAAATGGAAATAAAGCGTGGTTCAGAGCTTACAGTTAGTATTCACGGTAGTTAAATGTGACACTAAGCTGCCGCTGAGGCTAACTTTGTTTTGTTTCAGGAGAACTCGCGTTCTTACCTCGCTACTGAGAAGTCCCAGCAGATGCCTTTATTGCAGAAAGAAGCAGTGCAAGGTACATGAACTCCTAGCTTTTCCATGGAAATGTGCACATGTTCTCCCTGTAAATTTTAGTCTGCCATGATGGAGTTATGCTGAAGCATACTGGAAATCTGAAGGAAGTATTACTGAATTCTGCAAAAACTTTGAGGGTCAAGGAGGAAAATACTGCATTCTGCGTGTGCTCGCATGCAGAAAACCTAAATCCTGTATCGTGAAAAGAAAACCTTTCCGTTCTTCCTTGAATCTTGCAATTATTTTCATCTTCTGTGCCCTGAAAAGAAAATGGGGGCAAGAGTGAACTCCTGTATCTGGAAACAGAGTATCTCTGCGCAGAATAACTGATCAAATTAAAATCCCACGTGTGTTCTGTGAACCAACGTGCTTCAGTTGAAGTTTTGTAGCTCACTTAATGTTGCTCCATCTGGAACACCCACTGGCTGCTTTTTCTGCTATGGTATTTGCTTGCAGCTTATTGCTGGAATGATGCAAATTGGTAAGAGAAATCCAGGGTGGATTTAGCGGAGGACATGTTCCAGTAGCAGAAAAACTTTCTAATTCTTTGTGGCCTCTAAAAAGTTGTATTTCTGGACTGGTATGTGATGCTGCCATCACTAGTCACCTGACAGAATTTATCTTCCTGTGACTTGTATTTTTTCCCCTTTTAATCTGATCACTTCTTGCTTTGTCTTGCCTCCCAGAGGTTACAAAGGTAAGGAGGAACCTCTTCAATGAAGAGATACTTTCACCATCGAAAAGGTCTGTGAAGAAGATGCCTAGAAGCCAGTCAGTATCTGCTGTGGAAGGCTTGAGATACGAATGCACCGATGAAGGCGCCAGAGGTAGGATAGGATGTGACTGGGGAAGAGCTTTTACTAAAATTCCTATTTTTGTGTCTGTGAAATAATTAATTATGGTAAGTTTGTAACGAAGGAGAAAATATTTAGATCATTGCTGTGGTGTTGGGAGGGTGAATAGGATGGTATTGAAATGGCAGCCTACTTTTTACTGAACTCTACATCTCATAAAGAAAACTAATGTTAAAAATGCATGGTTAAAAAAGGGTCTGTGAAGAACTGAAGTTATCTCAGTAGTCTGTCTGACACAGTCAGGACTTAATATTGAGGGAGTGGGAAGGAGGTGTAGACACTGGACTCTGAAATGATGATAGCTTGAGGGCTGGGAGGCTGATGCGCAATGATTCTGTATGGGCTGTCATTCTTAAACTGAAGCCTATACAAAACTCTATCTTTGTCCTAACTGCTTTGTAAGTGTGTGATGTTATAGCTCTTGCTTGATTCGCAGATCGTCGCAAGCTGTTGACCAAGAGAGTTGCAGAAACGCCGCTCCATAAGCAGGTTTCCAGGAGGCTGCTACATAAGCAGATCAAAGGCCGGTGAGTAAGCTCTTTCTGAGTTTCTTCAGTAAGGGCTGGATGTCTGATGGCTGCAGGCACAAGAACCAGGTGTCCTCTTTGTTGCCAAAGGGTCATCCTCACCAAAGGCAGTAAGGAAACCAGTGGAGGCAAGTTCCATTGCCTGACTGGGGAGAAATACTGCTTGCTTCATTGTGTAAGTCGGGATGCTTTAATTCCTGCAGACAACTTCTGTTTAGGTTTGGTTGCTGTTTTGAGGGCTTCTGAAGGAGAGGCCTGGGATGTATTTTGTGGACTCCAGGCTGAAATGTAGCATTTACTTCCATGTAGAACTGTTAACTATACAGTTGGACAGTTACACATACACAATCAAACGTTGATAGGAGGCAAAGTGTTTACTAATTGCTCACTAATTGCCCACAAAGCAATACGTTGTTGTAGAATAGAGTACTGCTTTGTCAGCCTGTGTGGTTGGAACTAGATGATCTTTAAGGTCCCTTCCAACCCAAACCATTCTGTGATTCTGTTTCTGTAAATGTGAACAGTATGCCAAGTCAAAAATGTCTGCTGTTTCTCAAGGTCTTCTGATCCAGGTTGTGACACCGATGTTGTAGAAGAATCTCCAGAGAAGGCCATAAATAGTAAGCGCTGATTTTTTTGATTAGAGGTGCCTTTGCTGTGTGGTAGCTCATCAGATGAGCATGCTTCAGGTTATGTAATTTGTGAATAGTCAGTACAAAAGGGTTGTACTGTTCTGTTGGAGCACAGCCTCCTCTGAGAGAATTATTTGCTGCTCACTGCTTTGACAACCCTGTGTAGTTGAAGTTAAGAAAGAAAGGTAGATAGTAACTCTTTTTAAAATGAAAAACGTAGCAGCTCAGGATCTTGTTTACCCTCTGACACCTGTCAAACCAGCACATGCAGGGTTTTTTAATGTAACTTCAGCGTGTTGTGTTGTGACCCTGACAGTGCCCTGATTTCTGCTGTAACAGGTAGGCACCTGGCTCTGGAGTGTCTCAGTGTTATGTTGGCTACTGCTGTTTCTTATCCCCAGGAAAGAAGATAACAGCATGGTTGGGCAAGCAGGAGGAAGAAATCACTAGTAAAAAGACAGAATTTTAGTCATGTGACCTGGATGTAGCTTGAATTGAATGTGGCTTTTCTAGCATTTCTTGTGGTGTAGTGGCTAGAGAGGGATGGGAGTAATAACTTAGAGGAGGGGGCATGATGACTTGGGATGAGGTTTGTATGCATGAATATTCCAAATCCCCAAGAAAGTTGAAGCTTTCTTCTTCACATGCTTGCCTCCCTACATGAGAGAGTTAGCTGGATGTAAATTTCTTCTAAAGGGTGTTCAGTTCTGAACTGTCCCTCAAGATGGTCCTCATTGTTGAGGGAGAACAAAAGCTCCATGTGGAATATCCTTACCTTTTTAGAAGCCGGTTTGAGAAGAAGCCCACGCATCAAACAGCTGTCTCTGAATAGGACCTGCTCTGGTGTTTTCCATTCTGCTACACAGCCCAGCTCACAAAATTTGCAGCGAGTCCATCGGGGACAAGAAGAGGGAAGCTGTACGCTGCAGGATGTAGAAGGTACTGAATGGGATTTGAGCAGGCTGATGCTGCTGATCTGAAAAGCTGGCATGGCTAGCTCAAGTTTGATTTGATTTGGCTCTGCAAGAGACTGTAAGAAGCTAAGAGCTATCGTGTAATATCTTTTGCAGACAGAAGTTCAACCCCAGTAATTATTTTTGAATTGAGAATCTGAATTTGGAGGATGGTAAGGCAGCTCTTGCTATGCTGCATAATACACTGCCAACTCAAGAAACCAGTCAGGCCCATCTAACAATACAACTGTCAGTCTGTGTTCCTTAAATGCAGTGAAATCCCTGTAAAATATGGGACAGAAATCCTAAAGCTTAGTTTCAGTCTACTCTGTGGCAGCATAAAGCGGTGACGGATAGGGTTGTCTCTGCTGGCTTTCTCAGTAGGATTATCAGCTCTAAGTGGTGACGTTTAGTTCTTCATACTGTACTTACTAAACCCTTAGTCATGAACCAGAACTTTCTTGAGCTACAAGCTATAAACAGAGTAAGAGGTTGAGCTGTTTTGTATCTTTTTTTTTTTCTGCTAGAGCACTCTTTCTACAGGTGGATATTAATTTCATATTCGGAAATAACAGTAATTCTGGCGAAGCTTTAACATTTGGCTAGAAAAGAACATGCCAGGGCTTCAGGCTTTATACAGTACTTGTCTGGGTCACTTCCGATGTACGGACAATTGTTCATGGCAGGTGACTTGGTGTCAGTTGAATTGTACTGTTCCACTTTATAGGCGTTAAGCGGCGTTCAGAGACCCCCGCTGTCCAGACTCCCAAGAGGTTGTTCTTTGGTGCAGTCACTGACACATGTAGTCCTGCAGTGAAGTCTTCACCTGGAAGGAGGAGAAGAAGAAAAGATTCCTTACATTTAGAGGAGCTGACTGCCTGTCAGGTAGAAAGACTTACCTCTCTTTCTTCCCATCCCCTTCTTCCATTCATGTTTAGTGAGACCAACATATCTTTAAATTTAGTGTTTCTGTAAAGTCTAATCAAATGTTTTGTGTTTTAAATCTTGAAGTAAATATCAAGAGGGGTAGATAATGCTGGAATAGAACAAGCACGATTTTTGGTTTTTCTTGCAGACTCCTAGAAAGACACCTCGTAAATTTGCCCAGCAGCCACTGAATTCTGCCAGTAACCTACCAAGGAGGTCACCTCGCATTCTCCACAGGACACCACAGAAGCTTGAGAAGACTCCTGGCAGAAGTCCAGCTGCTAAGCAGACTGCAGTGAAGTGTCTGGGAAAGTACTTCTCTCATCCTGTAGAAAGGGTCAAGTCACCATCTGCGCTAACTGAAAGTAAGAGGGTTCGCTTACTGCAAGTGACTTCTAAGGACTGTTCTCCAGCAGAAGGACTTCCTCCTTGCAAAGAGGCTGGCTTACAAATACCAGAACATAATGGGGCAAGGAGCCTTGCAAACCCTTCATTACCCCTGACAGATTCAAACCCAGCTCCTTCTTCCCCCTCTGCTGTCCAGGAAAGATGTTTTGCAGAAGTGCAAACTCCAAGGCGTTCCTTGAGATACCTCTCAAAATTAGCATCTCCAGGTGGTGCTCAGCACCAAATCCTCCCAAAGGAAGCTCACATGCACTCAGATCCAGTATTGCAAGCAACTGAAAGTATTCCCAGGAAACCTGAAGATCCAGGTTCACGATTACACGCCAGCCCGCTGAATGCAGAAATGCTGGAGCTTGCTGTGAGGAGTTCTCCTCTCTGTGAAAGTTCCACAAATGCTGTGGCGATCCGCTCTCCTTCCCATGCACAGACCAGGGAGTCTGACTGCGAACTTAGTGCATCAGAACCATCTTCTCAAAAACCTCAAGGTATTGCTGTCATTTCACCGAGGTCCCTGCTTCACACATCCAAGCAGGCCACGTGTGAACCAAATTTGGGAGGAGAGAACCTCATGCTTGCATGTGCAACACCTAAAAATAAGGACGATCATCACGATAGCGGTGGCAGTTCTTCTGTAGAAAGCCTCCAGCATTGTCAGTTCCAAATTGCTGAAAATACCCCTGTATCAGAGAAAAATAAAGCGATGGATGTAGCATCTCAAAAGTCTTCTTCCAGAGAGGACTTGGAAAATTTGGAATAGCGTTCTGCTGGAGGGCAGGTACATGCACAGAATGCTGAGGGAGAGTGTGAGCAATTAGTTAAGGAAGGGAACTCCAGCACAAACACTTGTGAGTCCTTCCTTAGTGGTTCTCAAACAGTTAGTGATGACTTGGTTCCAAGAACCCTGCTGAGTGAAGAATATGCAGAGCTGAAGGCTCAGAGTCCAAAGAGACACTACAGATTTGCCCTGAATACTTCACCTCCTACCCCAAAGTCTGCTCCTGCCTATTCCTTACGCTGCACTGCAGACAGGAGGCAGCGGGAGGCTGCGGCACGGATGGGAAATCCGCAACTTCTAGCCAAGTTGTCTACTAAAAGTCGCTGCAAACTGCCTGCTGGTAACCCACCAACTTACGAAGTCGAAATTGAAATGCAAGCTTCAGGCCTGCCCAAGCTTCGCATTAAGAAAATTGCCTCTTGCTCTTCACTGGAAGTTCAGCCTGAAGCAAGTACCAACCAACCCAAGGGAGGAGAAAGCCCATTTGGTGATGTTGCTATGACCTGGTGTAACAAGCACCCGGGAAAACCAGCAGCTGCCTGTGTTTCACCGTCCTGCTTTCGCTCTTTCCACAGTACCCCTGGGAAAGGCAGAGGACAGACCTACATATGCCAGTCATACACCCCAACGAGCTGCGCCTCTAACGCCACCTCTCCATCCCCCGTAGAAGCAGGAGTTCCCTGGACGCCCTCCCCAAAGCAGAAGGGGAAGACTACCCCCGATGCTATCAATGACTGGCCTCGGAGAAAGAGAGCTGCAGGCAGCACTGCTAACGCCAGTGGTGGTCCGAGTGAGAAGAATGCCGATGACCAGAAGAGAATGTCAACAGGCAGAGAAGGAGAGATGAAGATCTGGGAGCGTGGCAGCAGTAAAGTAACAAGTACTCTTGGGGAGTTCGAACTGGAAGGGATTTACAGGCTCCAGGATCAGGCATCTCCTAGTGACTCTGAGCCCAGGGCTGATGAGGACTCTGCAATGGGAACTTTTGGCTTGAAATCTCGGAAGCGGGTCTTTACGTGTCTATCGCCAGAAAAGGAGGAGAATTGTGATGCAAAGAGGTCTTGCAGTGATGGGAGCACCTTGGATCTCGCCGGCTTTTCCACAGATGAGGGCAACAGAAGCAAATCAAGGACAGACTCTTTACTTCCCCAGAAACCAGGAGCAAGTGTGCTCGTAACTTCTGAGCAGCACGGTTCTGTAGGGGATGATGATGATGTCTTTCTTTTGTCAGGTAATGAAGTGTCAGGAGTGACATTCCAGTGATACTGGGAGATGGTTAAAAATGTAAGGTACACAAAACCAAGAAGACAACTGGTTTCTGTTTGACTGTCTGAGGGAGGATGAGGTGAAGGGGGGCAGTGGGTTGAAAATGACATGGAAGTTACTTATGTGGAGAGGCAGATTAGATGTGTTCATCAAGGGAGTATTAATGATGGGAGGGAGATCAGAGAAACAGCAAAGTGTAGGAGTCTGGAGGAATTTAAAAGGAAAGTTTGAGAGCTTGTAAACCGTGCAAACTCAGGAGTGAATAAAGGTGGTGTAAGGTAACCACGGAGTTGAATGCAAGCTGTGCCTGGAGGGAAGCAATACCTCTCCTATTGCAGTGTGCGTTGAAATTAGAGCAGGCAATTCACTTGGGTTCCTGTCGATGCCACTGCTTCTGCCCAGCAGCCAGCACTGACGTTAGCTCTTTAAAGCCTGGCTGCTGCAGCACAGACCGGAGCCTGGTCGGGGGGGGTTAGTCCTGTGGACACTGGTATCTATTGGTGCTTGTGGTGGGCTCGTTGAAGGTGGGTGTCAGAAACGATTGCCTGGCCAGCAGCAATGTTACAGCGGTAGGTAGTTTAAACTTAACTACCTCTTTGCTTTTGCGTGGGGTGCAGGTGATTGAGCTGAACTTGGTGACACAGGCTGTTCCAGCTCTCTAAGCAAGGCCTGGTTGAATCTCAAACACTTAATCCAGTGGTGTTCTGGAAATTCCATGCTACAGGGGACTATGGCAGGTGTTCCATAGTCATTGCATGCCCTGGAGTGTTAAAGCTTCAGTGTCTGCTTCCTCTTGCAAGGAAAGGTTTGTATACAGAGGTGTCTTACTCAACAGGTATTGCTGAGAAAAATGGGGAAACGTGGAAGCAACATGAGTCCATATTTAGGATGTGTAAATATATTAATGCTGCTAGTTATATACAAAAATAACAGCATTATTTAGCCTTAAGCCAGTCCTGTAAGAGACCTTCTGTACCTACAGGCCTGGTTTCTGTGTTGACAGACCATCATGATGGTGACCGTTTTCTCCCAGGGCACGCGAGTTAACGGAAGAGTAACTATGTTTAATACAAGTGAAGCGCTTCCCTACTAAGCCACCTCAGTAAATTAAATGTGCTAATTCGACTGACGCTGCCCTTCCTTGATGCCAGAACCAGCCTAGAGCTTGTTTCAGATAAACACTGCTTGTACCGATGGCAGTTTCGAGGTGGAGGAAGGGCTGCGTGTCACTGGAAAGCACTAGAGTTGTCGGTTTGCTCCAGCATCTCGCTGTGCTTCTCCAGGTTCAACCCCGCCAGTGAAGAGTGCGCTCTCCGCTAGCAGCCTCCTAGCGCTGACCCGGTCTCCGCTACTGTGCCAGGGACAGACGCCGCCCTCCCGAAGAATGCGTGTTCAAGGTAGGCTGGGCTTGAGCAGACTGCTCTCCGCTTGCCCGCAACTAGCCGAGAGCGCAAGCATACTGTGCTAGGGATTGGTCTTTGTGCGGAAAGCCTGTGCCTGCCACTTCTGTGTTCGGCGTCCCCATCTCACGCTTCCAAGGAGCGTGGCATGAACTGGGGAGTTGGGAGGGAAGGGGAGGTAGCAATGAAGAGAAAGGATAGCCTAGTAGGAAGTGCAGCTTGCTGTTCTTGTTTCCAGATTGTATTTTGCTTCTTGGGGTCACCAGGGAACTCTGGCAAACTATGGCTTTAACATACTCGTTCTCTTTTGTAGAAGAGGAATCTGATGCCTTCCAAAGTACTGCCAGCCAGGAGCTGTCTCCATTCCACATCATGGCTTCCAGGAAGCGTCCTCTTAGCAGGACTTACTCACGGAAAAAGCTGCTCAGCTGAAGTCTGGAGCCAGAACAGTATGGGAAATGTTCTGTTATCCCAGCCATACAACCTCCTTTTTACCAAGGACCTGAACTTGGATGGCACTGTCTCGTGTTGGTAGGAGACTGGATGCAACCATATGACAGTGGAAATAAGGACCATTCAAAATATTTTGGGGTTTTTTAACCCCCAAATAGCATCTCTCCATCCATTCAGAGCCTAGCTTGGGTTTTCTTGCACTTCTCCAGTGCTCGACGGCTCAGTTCTGCCGGGTGAAGAGGGAGAATGTCCCTTTTCTACAACTTTCTTGTAAAATAAACAGATGAATTTTTATCGTGTCAGTTAACCAAAAATCTGGCTAGAGCTCACATGAGGGGTGGAGGCTGCTGGAGGTGAACAGGTACAAAACAAGCCGCTGCCTATCTTGTACTGGTACCAACTGGGTCCCTCGGTTAGTTGCATCCAGTTTGCTGCAGGTTAGTGGGAAACTGACAAGCAGCTGAACTCCGGTTGAATGAATTTATCAAACGCTTGACAAGTGCCAAAAGACTACAGAGGAGGGGAAAGAGCTGGGAAGGAGAGGAGTCTGATTCTCCCTCTGTAGATCACAAATGATTTGGAGTATCTGCTGGCAGGTGCTGATGGAGCAGCTCTGGTGGTGTTTTCTGCAAACTGGAGAGGACCGGCTGGAGAAACTTCCTGGAGAGGTGCAACTTGGATGGGATAGCCGGAGGGCAGCTAAAAGGCTACTCTACCCACCTAAGTCACTGATTAAGTAGTGACAAGTTACCTGAGACAAACGTGCTTGCATTCTAACCCCACGAAGGCAGCAGAAACTGTGATTTGGTGCTGGAGATGTAGCCTGCCACAGGCCAAAGTTGTTCCTTATCTCGGAAGGGCTGGATTTTCTCTCTGGATAGTGATCTGCTTGTGCATGGCAGTGTGTTGGGGAAGCCTTACTAAGCAGGTGCTCAAACATTAAGGCAACGCTGTGAGAGCAACCGAGTTCCCAGGCACTGAGGTCTAAATAGAACTCCTTTCTGACATCCCCAGAGTGACCACTGGAGCCTCTGGCATGGCTTCATAAACGCACTCTGCTTTATTAGAAAAGTTACAGTAAAAAGGTAATAAAACACTGTTACTACAAAAAAAAAATCAATGTCCAAGGACTGCAGCGTGTTTCCCTCTGAGGCAGCTAGGGCTGAGTGAGCCCTGCAGCAGAGGTTTCCAAACTGTAAACAAGTTTTTAGGGTTAGAGGTATCTTCCCACTTCCCAGCATGTAAGCTGCTGAGGGTGGGAGGACAGGTGTCCAGTCGGCACCACCCGCAGTGGCAGCGCACGGAGGATGTCGGCTAGTGGCCCCTCACCCTGTATGCTTCCTTCCATGATGAAAAGTCACTCTTCCTCTGCCACGTACAGGCTTGTTGCCAGGCTGGCCTGGGGGGCAGGAAGGCTCTTCAGCTCCCATTGCAGTATCTGCTCCTCCCTGTCCTCTGCCAGGTCTGTCTAGACTGGGTTTCTCCTTACGTCTATCATCGTGGGGTGGTGAGGCGCTGAGGTCGCGTTCAGGCTGGCTCTGCGCAGCTCCCGGAGGGGTTTTGGGGCAGGAGCGAGGCTCCGTGGTGGGTGGGGCTGCCCCCCTCGCGCCAAGTGCTCGGTGTCCCTCTGCCGAGGGTCCCCGGGGCTGTCGCTGGGCAGGGAGGAACGCCTCCATGTTGATGGCAAAGGGGCATGCACCAGGTCCCTGCTCTCCTCCCTGGCCCAATGGCTCTCTTCAGTAGCCACGGGCTGCTCCCCGAGGCTGGACTCCTTGCAGGTCCTGAGCACAGGGGGAGCTCTGTCCCCAGCCCCTTGGATGCTTCTCTCCGGCCCTGTTGGGAGAGATTGGGGGTCCAGTGAGACAGTATCAGGATCTCTACCTTTCTCATCAAAATTGGTGCCTGCAGAGCACTTGCTTGAGGCCAGCAATGACTCTGCTCCAAGGTCTTACTGCCAGGGAAAGGGATTTAAACCCGGCAGGAACAGTAAAGCCCCATCTCACCTTTGCTCTGACCAGGGTGGAGGCTCATGTTACTCAGCCTCTGGTTCAGCTCCTGGTTTGCCCACAAATAACGGCTCAGCTCCTTTTCCAGCACCTGAATCCTCGCCTCATACTGCAGCTTGCTGCTGGCCAGCCCCTCCTCCATGTGCTCTACAAGGAAA